AACGCATTGAATTGCATAATTGCATACATTTTAGGCATGATAGGATCATGTCATTCATAATCGCATGATGGCTTAATATCTACAGGTTTCCAGGGATGGTTGAAGATTGAAGATATGAAAGCATCGAGATGAAGATACTGGTTTGAGATTTTGACAAGAATGATGTTTATACGAAAATGAGTCAAAGCAGATTCGATATCCAATGGCTCCAGACAAGTTTTCACGATGGAGATGGATTTTCAAAAATTTTCTCAACTTCTAAATTATTTTTTAGTATAATATTTTTCAAATATACATTCATGATGAATAATGTTTGATTTTCAGGTTTGACCTTTGAAGCAAATCATCTATAAGCCTTCACGAAAGAGTAGTGAAGCAAATTCGTTTGTTGAAGATTGAGTCCTATACTCTCTGAAGGAATAGGGAGCGGACAAGTTCGTTGAAGATTGAGTCCTATACTCTCTGAATGAATAGGGAGCGGACAAGTTCGTTGAAGATTGAGTCCTATACTCTCTGAATGAATAGGGAGCGGACAAGTTCGTTGAAGATTGAGTCATATACTCTCTGAATGAATAGGGAGCGGACAAGTTCGTTGAAGATTGAGTCCTATACTCTCTGAATGAATAGGGAGCGGACAAGTTTGTTGAAGATTGTTTGAGTCTTATACTCCCTGAATGAATAGGGAGCAGACACGTTTGCCAAGGATTGTTCGAGTCTTATACGCCTTGAAAGAAAAGGGAGCAGACCCGTTATTTGAAGATTTTTCAAGTATCACTTCTCTTGAAGTAACAGTGGAATGGTTTAATCTTTTGAAGTTCTCATGACCGGACAAACTCGATCATCTTTTGATCTTTGCTCTATTCTCGTTACACGACAATGAGCAAAGAGGGGCAGCTGTAGATGCTCGGTTTTATCCGAGTCTAGGTCGGGACAGGCCCCATTCAAGCCCAATGGACAACAGATATATGCACAAGAAGATAGCAGTTTGAGGGTCGATTTTTAGCAGTTTTAGTTTTTAAGAAATAACCACCCATCATCAGTTTTAATGGGATTTAAAAGAGAGGGATATCAACTACGGGGGGGATAGACAAAAAAAAAGGGACGAAAAACACAGAAAAAAGGAAAAGAACAGTACTTGTAAAAGGTTATTTCCCATATTCGAGGATCAAAGGAAGCAAAGGATCTCTCTTGTCATTGAATCAGAGTAATACACAAAATCAAAAAGGGGTACTTATTTCTATGTTTCCATCTCAATTGTTTTTGTAATTTGCTTACTATTTCTATGTTTCCATTTCAATTGTTTTTTGTAATTTGCTTGTACATGCATATGCTTTGAGTCAAAATCAAGTTAAAATATATAGAAATAACAGTACATTTACCTTAGAGGTTTGGGGTCATTTCTGGTGCTACTTCGAAGGAAAAAGAATAAATAGGTTCCTAAAAACAGAATAAATCAGTAAATATTTGAATCAATTCGTTTAAGGGTTGATGCAAATAGGAAAGGTTTTAGTCCATTTACCTTATTCGTCGGAAACATTATTGTTGGTTTTGTCGGAGTATAGTGGTATTATTGTGTGAGCTTCGAAGGGTAGATAGTGAGGGAGAGAGTTTCGAGAGATGGGAGTTGAGAAGAATATAATTATAAGAGGGTTTTTTTTTTTTATTTGGTTTGATCCATGGCCATTAAAAAATGAGTGAGGCAGTAGCGTTGGGAGGCAACCATTAAAGTTCAAGTTGTGTGGGTTTAGCGAGAGAGAAGAGGGGAGAATGGAGAGAGAGTGAGGCGTCTGTGCACTTTGGTTTCAACAAATCACTAAGTTTTTTTTAGTTAAGTTATAGTAAAGTTTTTGGTTAAATTAGGTTTAAGTCCATGATATTTATGCTTGCTTTTCTTTAAGTTTTTGTTTTAGTTTTAAATTAGTATGTTTAATTTTACATGTGTTCAGATTTAGTCATTACTTTAATGTATAATATATATATATATATATATATATACATTTTTTTAAAATTGTAGTTTAGCATGTCATGTTTTTATTTTTATATTTAAGTCACATTTGTACATAATATGTCAATATGCATAATTTATGATTTTTAATTAAAACATATGTATATAATTTTTGCATGTCACATTGTATGATATTTGTAATTCTTACATGACATTATTTTGCATAATTTGCATGATAGCCTCACGCGCATAACTCGACCTATTACATAATCGGACTAAGGGTAATACCCATTTAATTTAAAATTGTTAAAGTGGGCAGTCATAACTGATTTGAGGTCCGCTTTTAATGATTTTAAAATAAAAGTGTATCCCGAAAGTGAAACAAAAAAATTGATTCGCCACCTAAAATTTGGGAACGAGAGAAAAAGAGAAATGTTCGTTTATTTAAATATATCGAGAAAAGGTTGTTATATCTTTAAGATCTGGTCTCGATATTTGTAAATAATCGAACATTCTTTATCTTTCTAAAACGACTCGGTAATTTTAATTTAATTTATTTGAGTGCTTTTGAATGTTTTTAAATTTACATCTTTGTTTTATGAGATCAAAAATTAAATTAAATTTGAATTTGTAAAGTTCATTGCAAAGACGTTAATTAATCGGCTAGGTACCAATTTAGGGCGTTGTGGGGGTGCTAATCCTTCCCCGCACGTAACCGACTCCCGAACTTGGATTTTGGTAACGCAGACCATAATTTGTTGTTTTAATTAAAATTAATTTTTATTTAAAATAACAAACATTTTTTGGTGCCCAATCACACCCTAATCAAAGATTGGTGGCGACTCTTTGAACTGTATTTTTTCGATCATAAAGGAAATCCGAATTTTTTTTCGAAACGAAAGGTTTTTCAATCACATTTGTTTTTAAATTAAAAATCAATTGAAAGAGATAAATTAAAAATTAATGTGGTTTTCAAAATCTCACCTTTTTTCACCTTTAAGAAAAAAATCGTTTCGACACTTCACAATGAAATTCTTCAACATTTAAGGAATTACACAAGGAGGGAAACATAGTTTTTAAGAGTCTAAAAGGTGGTTGACCAAGGCGAAAGTGATGTCGCTAGATTTGGTCTTTATTGGTTGTAGATTCGGATAAAAAAGGACAATGGTTGAGTATTCAAAACTCTAGCTAGTCCAATAAGGTCTTCAAGGTAGTATAGGCCATTTATTTTCCTAGCACGCTCAATCATCTTCTTTATTTCTTGCTTCTGAAAAAACATTGTGTAGGATGAAATAAAACATTGCAGTTAGTGTCTTTGATAAGCTTTGGAATAGAGATAAGGCTAATAAATAGTTTTGGCACATGTAAGACATTTTTAAGCAATAAGGTTTTACTGATGGAAATATCTCCTTGGCCAGCAACCATTACCATAGTACCATCTGCAACTGTGATTTTCTTATTGCTAGAGCAGGGTGTGTAGATGAGGAATTTTAGTGATGAATTAGTCATATGATCAGTGGCTCCTGAGTCAATTACCCAGGAGTTTTGGGTATATGTGGGTGGATGATTCCAAGGCATTAGAATTCTGAGAAGATGAAGAAGATATACCTGAGAAAACTAGATTGCGTGTACCTGTAGAGGATGGTTTTTCTAAGGATTCTAGTAGGTTCTTCAATTTTTCTACTTCTTCCTGGTTGAATTCAACAGATTGTTCATCAGACTCCTTAGTCACATGTTTAGTTGCATAAGCTCTGCTTTGTCCTTTTGTTGAGACTCCTTTCTCTGTGGAGTTCTTATTTGTAGTCTGAGGCTTTCCATGTAGCCTCTAGCACTTCTCTTTGGTGTGACGAGGTTTTTTACAGTAAGAACACCATAAGGAGTCCTTGTTAACTGTCCTTGTTTCTTCTAATCTGCCTTCAATATTTTGTTGCTCCAGACGATTTAGTCCCTTAGGAGCAGCCCTAGTAACCAAGGCTGAACTTTCTATTTGATTATTTTCAACCACCACCACTCCTCTTCTTCCTTCTTCAGCACAAATGATAATAATAGTTTCATTCAATGAAGACAGGTCTTCTTTTCCTAGAATCTGGACCCTTACTACATCAAATTTTATATTTAGTCCAGCAAGAAAATCATAAATCCTATCTTTTTCTACAAACGTCTTTAGAATTGTTGCATCCTCACTGCATTTCATCTGAATGCATTGATAGTTGTCCATTTCCTACCACAGATTCTGTAGCATGTTAGAATACTCTGTAATCAATTTGCTTCCTTGTTTAGAGGCTGAAATCTTGCTCTTGATTTTATAAATCTGAGCAGCATCTCGAACCTTCGAATAGGTTTGTTTTACAACCTCCCATATCTCATGGGCGGTTCCAAGAAACATGGAGGTGTCACTAATTTCAGGTACCATTGAATTCCACAACCAAGACATAACCAATGAGTCCTGTTCATCCCAAGCCTCAAATCTGGGATCTCCTTCCTTAGGACATGTTCCGAGGAGATGACTAAGTTTACCTTTCCCTTTTAGGAAAGTCTGAACCAATTGTGACCACTACCTTGTATGTTTTGTAAGTCACTTATCGAATTAGAGTGACTTCCCTCACCCATTGTGCCTCTTTAAGCAGTTTCTATACTGCTGTAATCGCCCGTATCGCCTATATTTTGCTGATCAAGTATCATACCCTCTTAAAGAATAATAAGAACCAAGAAAAAAACGCTCAACAAGAAGATTAAGACACAAAAACGAGTAGCTCTATACCATGACAAAAGCCATGAATTTTACTGTAATTCACACTTATTAAATGTGTAAGAAACTTACAATTATATATAAAAGCCTAGCCCTTATCTTAGATAACTTCTAAACTAGGTAAGAGACTAATTCTAGCAATAAAACAATCTCTTAGATTTAGGATGCTAACTAAATAGAATATTTACAAATTCAACTCAATCTCCTTAACTTAGGTAACTAATCTCTGACAAAGTGCAACACTCAAACCAAGCAAGCTACAAGGGAGTAACGCATAGAAGCATTCTGACAAGCCCTGGACATTACCAGTAATTAATTCCCTGAGAATCACCTCCGACACGTTCTTTACGAAAGGCTGGAAGTTGAACACCATGTTTAAGTGAGTTGTCAATGTAGTTTCGGATGCCTTCTTGCTGCAAAATGTAACTTGAAATCAAATTCCTCGCTAGTAGAAACAATAGATTTATAGAATAAAACAAGCACAAAGGATAACAGATACCTTATCACACAGTAACTCAAGAAACATTACATTAGTTTGAAATTATGACTTATGATAGCATATAATTGGAAAAGAAAGAAAACTCTCCAAGTAACCGTTCAGCAAGAGCTACATAACTTAACTATAAGGAGCATATTACAATAACATAGAAGATCAAAACAGACATTTAGATCTAAAAGTAAATGTCAGGGAGTTGTTTTCTATGGTGATATCAAATTTCCTTCAATGCAGTAAGGAATCAAAAGAGAAGGAAGCCTTCAAATTTCATGATAACAATTTTGGACACATACACCAAAATTTGTATAGACAAGCATGTCACTGCATTAGTATCTGACAAAACCCAACTGTACCACAGGAGGTGTACAATCATCCAAACCTTAAACTACAGAAATTCAGTCATTCAGGATTTATTTGTAATAATGGAAAACTTAAATTTTAGTGCCCCTAAATGCTGCTTCAAAATTATAATATAATATTAATAGAAATCAAAGGCATGATCAAGATAAGAGAAACATAAAGCATTTACAAGTGAGTAAAAAGACATTTTATTGATGATGATCATACCTCAACACGAATGTCGCATAGTGCTTTCAAGATCACAACACGAATTCCAGGATCAAGTGACTTGTATACTTCAATCTCCGCCCTAACAAATTAGTATTCATTTGAAAGACTAAGCATTACATGTAAAGAATATTCCAAAAATGTATGGCAACTCACCCATGTGAAGCAACAATGGGAAGACCCCCATCTGCAACCTGAAAATGTCCAAAACAATTTATAAATATAACTGTAAGCAAGTATACTGCATTTTATTAAGCATAAATAAAAGGAGAGCACAAGTTACCCGATGCCACCAGTCTCTTAATTTTCTGCAAAGAACAGTAATCCAGGTATCACGTGTAAGGGGCATCCGAGTAATTGGAGGGATTGCCTGGAATGGAGAAAGTATATTGATAACTCATTGCAGTTGCAGACAAAAATACTTTTAATGTACTTGTTTTCAGGCAAACCATTTAGGTTAACAAATTCAATAGAAATCGTCATTCCCATATGAAGTACATACTACTTATAATTGTAAATGTTTCTAGTACAACAATTACACAGGCACTTAGCATTAAAAGTACCAACCAGAACTCCTTTCACTAATCACAGACATGCGTAAAGAGCCATAATGCTTTAGAGTTCATAGTCACTCTTGGGGACATGTAATCTACTTTTAAGGAAAGAACTGAAAAAATTAGAAACAAATTCCTGATGCACATTTTGTCCCGGATACTGTCTTATACACAGGTGGAATACACACAGGCAACAGGTAACCAAAACAAGGTACCTGGCACACAGGAACTATAGATATGATACACTTTAGAACCAAACAATCAAATACATGATGAGCTTCCGATAATTCACATAACTTACCACAACTTATAAACAATTTAGGAAGTAGAATCATATTGTTGGCAATTTTATTCAGTCCAACTTGTCTTAAAGTTTTTAATTTCGTCTATGTTGCTCATGCTCTTCCTTTTTTTTTTTTTTTGACAAGACTCATGCTCTTCATTTTTCTTGAAGTACCTGTGTTCGAAACTCGTGTTTGATACATGGATACAGGGATATGACCCTAAGGCCCCAACGATCCTCCAAATACATGAAAAACCTTCGAAAAGTCTAAGCATACCCGAAAAGGATACATACCCATATTCAATACTCACACTCAAGTTTGAGTAACATAGAATTTCTTACATGAGACCACCTTCAATCCTTTCCGAGGAACTCTTCAGTAAATCAGAGTTTAGCTATGGCTAATCTTTGAAGAATATAAAATTCTTTGAAGCTCCTTCCCACTCAATTATAGCTGGTATAATCATTCAAAGCAATGACACATTTCACTATTTTTGCTTCTATACAAGCGTGACACTGACATCCCATTCATAAGCTTCCAAATTTTCATCTAACCATAAACCCCAAAAAAAAATACATAATGATAAATAGAACCATTTGTAGCATGACAACATTTTCTTCATGCCCTAGGTTCTTTGTAAACCATGATATACACTAAGCAAATAACAACCTCAGGGACAAACAGCCTTAGAACAACAGTTGTTTTAGACTAGAAATGGCACTAAAAGTCCACAATTAAATAAAAATCAACCAAGAGAGGACAAACCTTAATGAATTAGCTAGTTTTCTCAATCGTAATTCACCAAAAAAAAAAAAAAACTTCATGCCTTTGTTTTCATTAAAGATTTAACACATAGAATTCAACCTCTTAATGGACAAAAAATCAAACGTTTGTGATTTTTCATGTGAGAACATATATCTTGAATTATAAATATTCCAAAGCAAACAACTTATCCATAGAATTCCATGTTCTTTGTAACTTCACTGATCTAATATAAGAAGTCAGAGTCCTAAGACGAGGAAGATGGCCATAAAGAATAAAAAAGTAGATTCATGTGTCAAATTGTTTTCTTGGGACTCATCAACAGCTACAGTTATAAAAAAGCCAATCCTAGCACTTGAATATGAAAGTAAAACACTCCCTGATTGTAAAGTAAAATAGCTCATATAGCTGCATCCCATAAAAGGACTAGCATACAAAAGCTAAATAAGGAAATTAAGTTCTCAACTAAAGAAAGCCATATTCGAGACCTAGCATGTATAACCATCCAACTATTACTCTGCCATTCAAAAAACCTTGGCAGAAATCTAAAAGCAAAAATGTATCACGGAAGAGAAATATCTGACTCTACAAACAACAAATTGCCTCAATAAGAATAAAAGCAATGCCAACAGGCAACAAGGCAACAATCATGAAAAAGAAAAATCTATACAAAAAATGGTATCGTTTGAAGCAGCCAACAATAAAACCATACATTTCAAAAGATGAAGAGGAAAAGAACGAACCTTCATTAAAGGCATATGAATATCTGCTAAAGTATCATTAGGAGTAATTAGCGCTGTTTCAAACTCCTCCGCCGAAAACTCCACAGCTATATTCAAAAGCGGTCTGAAAACCTGTTACACTCAAAACTTGTAAGTTACCTACAAAAGGCAAGCCTCATAATGAACTAATAGAAACAAAACAATACAATGAATTGGAAACTCACATGCAGGAAATTAAGTACTGAAGCAAACTCCCACATTGACAGAATGGTCCACCTAGGCAACTGCGAAGGCTCCGGCGGGTCCACTAACGGAGTAACGATCTTGCTATTAGCGCAGCATTGCTGCGGCGGCGGCGGCGACGAAGAATCATCACTCTCGTCCTTGGTTTGTTTGTGTTGCTGCAGGCCGTGTTGCCGCTCCTTCTTCGCCAGCTTCTGCCGACGCTCATTCGCGGCCTGATGCTGCTGAGCGAGCCTTTGGGAGGCTCGGATTGTACAAGCCCGCGAGGGACGATTTCTCCTCGTTAATGGCGGGATCAGCGTTGGCGAAGCGTTTCCGTCCGTGTGGATGGTTTCCGGAGCTTGGGTTGAAAGAGTGTCGTTTTCAGGTGAGTCGGGACGGATCGGAAGGGAAGGGGAAGAATCGAGGGACATTGTGGGAAAAGAGACAGATCGGAACGAGGGTTTTAGGGTAGTTACGGTAGGATTAAGTGTAGAAGATTCCCATTATAAAGGAAAAAGGAAAATTATTATTACTATTATTATGTATTATAAAAATAATAAACAAATACTCATAAAAATTAAGAAAAAATAGGAAACTGGAATTAGGGTGATTTTATTGATGGAGGTTTGTTTGGGTTAAGAGCAGTAAAGTGGAAAGGAGAACCGAAGCTCCAAACCATCACTCACTGGCTAAACTCACGATATAATGCTTTCAAAATAAATAATTCACGAGATAATGCACTCTTCATATTATTTGTTGAAATAGGATGAAATCCAACCGTAGGTCGTCATGCCTTCCGGGCGACCTACTACGTCGCCATGGCTTCCCGGCGAGCTGCACAGAGATAATGGACGTCTGCATGTGCCATGCACGTCCCCAACACCCAACACATGTCGCCATGCACTCCCCAACACCCCAACACAGGTCGCCATGCACTCCCAGCGACCTACAAGGTCGCCATGCACTCCCAGCGACCTTGTAGGTCGCCAAGCAGTCCCAGCGACCAAGCTTGGTTGTTTTCATGTTAATCCTCGTCATATTGCTTGCATCCTTGGTTGTTTTCATCTACGTGGTCACCATGAAAGGCTCGGGCCACCTCGAACCGAGTCGGGCTTACTTGGAATATCGTCTTGAAGATTTTTCGGGTTGGCTTCAATGGAGAGTTCGGAGTTCTTACAAATGGGGTGAATTCAGTAATGGCTGCAACGCATGCACGAGGGAGCATGGTTAAGTTTGGTCGCCAGCGAGCAGGGTTAAGTTTGGTCGCCAGCTTGGTCGTCGGGAGTGCATGGCGACCTTGTAAGTCGCTGGGAGTGCATGGCGACATGTGTTGGGGTGTTGGGGACGTGCATGGCACATGCAGACGTCCAGGGAAGCCCATGCGACGTAGTAGGTCGCCCGGAAGGCATGGCGACCTACGGCCACTGTGGATTTCACCCTATTTCAGCAAATAATATGGGGAGTGTATTATCTCGTGAATTATTTATTTTGAAAGCATTATATCGTGAGTTTAGGCATCACTCACTTCTATCATTCATCTTATATGAATATTAAATTTGGGGAGTTTCTGTTATGTTGGACGGAAAGGAAATGTAGAAGAACAAGGCGGTTTTATCAAAAGAACACCCAAACTATCAATAATTGTCTGACAGATACTCATTGACTAAATTTTACTAGGCCTATAAACGAATACGAACAGAGGTATGTTCATGTTTGTTCGTTTAACTTTAACCGAACAAATGAATGAACACGAACATAAACGAATAAAAAGTTTATTGTTCATGTTCGTTCGTTAAGGAATGTAGCTTGTTCGTGTTTGTTCATTTAAATGATAAATGAACACAAATGAACGAACATAAACGAACGGATGTAAACAAACATAAACGAAAACAATAAACGAACGTAAATGAACACAAATGAACGAACGTAAACGAACACAATAAATGAATATAAACGAACGTAAACGAACATAACTGAAAATAGATTTTTTCTTTCTTTCCTAACAATTTTAGGATTATATTTTATTTAATTATTTTGAGTTTTTTTATTTGTATTTAAAATTAATTGAAATTTAAAATATTTATGAGTATCAGATTAAAATTTATTGGACTTTAATATTTTAAATGGGTCTAAAGAGATTGGGATAAACATAAATGAGTACACATAAATGAACATAAACGAAAAGACATAAATTAACATAAACGAACGAACATAAATGAACGAACATTCACGAATGTAAATGAACGAACAAGCCCTCTATTTATGTTCATTCATTAAATTAAACAAACACAAAATCTTGTTCATGTTCGTTCATTTAATAAATAAACGAACTTCCCGTCGAACGATTCACAAATAGTTCGCTAAGCGTTCGGTTCATTTACATGCCTAAATTTTACCGATCTAGCATCTATTTGCTGATATGAACGGAAAGAGCAGATGGTGATCCAAAGCGCGAATCACCATCTGCGCCTTCGTGGGGAAAACTGACACACAACAGAAGATGTGAATCACTATTTATGCCTTCCATTATTCACCTTGAATTATTGGGTACTCCATTATTACCCGAGCCTTAAAGCTCGACGACTCACCCCTCCCATTCCCAATAAATACCCCTAAATGCAAACATCAAGCTACATTAAAATTACTTTTACATTCTTCCTTCTATCGAGCTAAGTATTTTTTTATAGTTTTTAGAAGGTAAAATTATTTATTATTATATTATATTTATTTTCTATTTAATTATTTAACCAAAAATTTTTGTATTAATGATTTTGTTTTATTTTGTATTGATATAAAATAGAAGGCGGGATCAAATCTCGAGACATTTTCCTGAGAGTGTAATAATGTTAAATTGTGTTATTAAATTTACTTTAAAACTTTTTTAAATGTTTTAGCATTAGTTTATTTTAAGTTCATATATTATTTATTTAATTAGGCGTATTTAATCTATTGATTTTGCATATATAAGACTCTAAATATTTCAAACTTTCAAACTCTAAAAATGAAGCGTATTTCAGCTATTGTTTACTATGATAGAGAAATTTAAAAAGATGAAAAAGACGTTGTCTTCGTATCAAATCATTCTGTTAGAATATCCTTCAATAGAAACATCACGCTTGAGGAGATGATCACTAAAATTTCAAGTAAGGTTCATGCTAGAAGTAATAGAAGATTGTCCTCACTTCAGTACAGATTTCCAACATCAGTATTTTCGTAAACTTATACAACGTTTGAACTCTCCAAAGATTATGATGTTGCTATGATGGTTGATTCTCATAATCAAAATTCAGACGCTGATACACAGATGTATGAACATATGTTGAAGTGTTTGCAGTTCGTGATATGTCATTATGCTCCTACTATGGGAACAAACTGATCAAGTTGACAGCCCAACTACAGTAATGTGTAATGATTTTAATGACATAATAGGAAATCCACACCATGATATCATCATATCAAGTTAAATGGGGAGACATTCATCGGCAACTTGTTACGATGCTTATTAAGGTGGCTCCACAAACAATCCATATGGCAAGCTTCTAGTTCAAGGGAATACATTCATGTCAATTTCTTTGACTTGAATATAGGGATGTCATCGACACAATAATATGTTCAGTACCCATTTGACACGATACCTTCAAGTTTCATGTGAGTCATTCAACTGCGATCTTCTTTGACCTCAATGTCGATATGCATGTGACACAACACTCAGTCCAAAACCCGTATGACACGATGCCATCAAGTTCAAGGGGAAGGCATTCGACTACCAACTTGTTCAACTTAAATATTGGCATCATAGAGGAAGCCTCATCTCCACCAGAAGAACCTCTTCGTGAGCCAGGTGCAGATGATGCTAAGATTGGATTATTCATTGAGCCAGAATCACCACAGTTCAACATAAACTCCGATAATGATGATGTAAATGAAGTTCCTACAACTACGATACACACCGAACCTCCAGCACACATATGAAGCTGACTATGGTACAATGTACGGGTCAGAATTTACGGATATGCCTAATGTTAGTGACTATGGATTTAACTCATCACTCAATAATGGTAAGTTATATATCGGAATGGAGTTTCCATAGAAATAAGAAGCGATGATTGATATTAAGAATTACAATATTCGTAATTCTGTTCACTTCATATTTGACCGATCCACCACTGAAAAATATGTCTGTTACTGTGTCCAACGTGATAACGGATGTAACTGGATGGTTCGTGTATCAAATAGGAAGAGGAAAAATAACATATGAGAACTAACAGTATACAAAGGTCCTCATATATGTTGTGCTAGAGGGATCAACTAGGATCATCCCAACTTGGACTCCGACATTATCTGTCAAGCCATCATGCACATGGTCAAAGCAAGCTCTCATATAGTTATTGTTGTGTTGATTTCAATTATACAGTCTCAATATGGGTACACCGTATCATACATGAAAGTATGGAAGACAAAGTAGAATGTCATTAAAAACTATAAAAATATAGAATCGATGAATACGAAAACTGGGTCGGAGGTGCTGAGTTTGTGATGGCGCACCACCCGCCAAATATGATGCATACGAAGCTCACGATGGATCTACAAGCATGGAAGTGTAATATATATCTGGAGGGCATAAAACCCTATAGTGATAACATCTTAACATATTGTGGTGGCATATGAAATGAAGGCAGTGGCGTCTGAAATAGTGTGGACCATCTGAAATGGTTGCATCCCCATTTGGAAAGGCTGCAAATATAACCCAGTGTAGACGATGCTATTGTGATGGTTCCGGTGTTACAGCTGAAGATGAGCCGGAAGCGTCTCTCCGTCCACTAGTTGGGGGAATGCAACTGTGACAATAGATGCTTTTCTTGATGTCGATGAATGCTTCGGTCGTACTTTCTCGAAAAGTATGAACATCTTACTGTTAGTGTTGAACCACTAGTAGTAGTCATCCGCAACCGAATGTTAATCCACATAAATCGCCTCCCCATTAGGAATGCGTCCACATCGATCCTCCAACATCATCATCAGTCGATCTGTTTCATCAGCCAATTGACATCTTTTTCCCCGTCTATCGATGTTATGCAAATTGTCGAGATTCATAGGTGCTTCTGGAATAGACTATACAAAACTAAATTGTCGGAGAACGCGATCAGTCGGATGCTACTCGACAATAGCATACATATCAGATGGACCATCGATTCATACGTCAAGTGGGTCACTCATATTAGTTGGGATACAATGCCTCATTTCGTCAGTAACATAAGGACCATTGAAACTACAACAAATATATATAATTCTTTTCAAAATAATATTTTAATTATGTAATGATAATTAAAGGTAAATAACAAAATTTAAATACATACCCATGTATCAGTTTTTTGATCAATGAGTTGTCGAATTTCTTCTAATTCGTCTGAAATTTCACGATGATCTTTCC